TAAAGTAGAAGTGGAGCAGAAAGGTAAACACTTACCGATGCTAACCCCTAACTCACACTTTGTTCTATCTGTTCCCCGGTACTTATGTGACCTGCCCTCCCCGCCCCACCCCTCCCCACCTCGGTCCAGTCGCTCCCTCCGACCCCGGGGTGTCCTCCAGGTGGGGCCAGCCCTGGTGCGGCCAGGCCAAGGCCACCTCCGCCCTCCAGATAACAGCTCCTCTCTGAGCTGGGGCAGGATTCTCTTTCTCTCTCTCCCCCTCTCCCTGCCTCCCCCTCTCTGTCTCTCCCTGTCCCTCCTTCCTGGTCCCTGACCCTTGCAGGGACCTGGCCTTCTCTCATATTTCTTTTGCCTCCTTCAGGAGAAGTGTCTAAGCGTCCAGGGCGGGTGGGGAGGGAGGGACTCCCTTCCCCAGCCCCCAGCCAGGGCACCCGGTGAGCTGTGTCTCTCTCTTCTCTCTCTCTCTCTCTCTCTCTTTCTCTCTCTCTCCCACCTCTTTCTTACAACTTTTATAAACATGTTTCTGGTTGGGGGTGGGGAGGTGGGCTGGACTTGGTGGGGGGACAGGTTTGTTTTCCTTTTGGGGTACAGATTCCTCCTCATCTCTCTCTCTCGGGGGGCTCTTGGTGGTCTAAGTCCCTTCTGGTTTGACGTTTGCAAGGCCCAGAGCTGTCTTGGAACGCGGAGCACCCTGTCCCCACCTCCTCTTACCTCCAACCCGATTCCCCCATTCCTGTCCCTGACCAGCTTGGGTGGTGGGGCCAGCCCTAGGGGAATGGGTGACAGCTGTCCCCAGCCTGGGAAGGGGACAGCCTGCCTTCAAAAACAAACAAATAAAACCAATTAATAAGCAGGGGGGAGGAGGGAGCGGGTGGGGGCGGGCCTCCTGGTGGGGGGAACGCAGGGTGGGGGAGCGTTTCTTGTGTTTTTTTTTTTTGGTTTTTGCTTTTTTTGGTTTGGTTTGGTTTTCTTTTCTCTGTTTCTTTCACACTTGCAAAGCTGCAGTCAGGGTTTCTTCTGGGCTGTAGTGCTTAGAGCACCAGGGGGCGGGCAGGGGGCGCAGAGACCTGTCCGGGGGACTTCCGGGGAGCACCGTAATTTCTTGCACAGGGCTCCAAGCGGGTGGGGGTGGGGGCTCTTGTTCATGATGGGGTTGGGGAGGCACTCCAGCCCAAAGGCTCTGATGCAGGAGTGGGTGTTGGGGATGGCCATTCCCTCCCCCCCTTCCCCCCACTTCCCCAGGAGTGTCTAGAAATGGATTTGATCCAGGGCAGGGCTGCAGGGGACACTTAAAGGGTCCCTTTGGTCTTGAAATTACGGTGGTCAGCGGAGCATCCCCTGCGAGGGAGGGAGGTGAGGCAGGGGTCCCTCTGAGCTGCTCCACTCCCCTTCCCACCCTCCCCACCCCCATCTCAGAGGCCTGGGCTGCCAGCCCCCGAGGCCCGCCCCTCACTGCACCCCTGCACTCTCCCCTCTCTCCTGGAATCTCTCCCACCCGGCACCAGCCCCTTCTCCTTGCAGACCTGCTGGTTTCTGGACACGACACCCATCGGCATATTTCTCTTCGAGGGGTGGGGTGGCGGGAGGGGGAGGGAAGAGGAGGTGTTGGGGGCTTGGTGCTGGGGAGGGGGTCCTTGTTGTCCAAGACCCCAGGCAGACCCCTTCCTCGTCTTCTCCCCCTTCCCCCAGGGGGCTCTAACCACATTTCTCTCCCCCTACATATACCCTCTGGCCAGGTGAGGTTCTGAGCCTCTCAGCTGCCCCCCCCCACCCCTGCCCTCCCCCAGTACAGGGCCAAGGCCACACACCTGGCCAGGAGGCTGGGCTTGGGTTGAGGGGTGCTGGACAGAGGGTGCAGGCCGGCCCCTCAGGGCATCAGGGACAGTTTGCTGGCCAGGCCCCAGGGCCCCAGCCAGGATGACTCTGGCTCCAGGCTCCCCTTCCCCTACCAGAATGGGACATGTCCCTAGTTGCCTGGTGCCTGGGGACCCTTGAGCCAAGCTGTCCCCAGTGCTGTGGCGAGAGGGCTGTAAACCCTCCACCCACCCACCCCCAACCCTGGTGAGAAAGGGGACATGAGGGAGGGGTGGCACCTGTCCAAGCCCCTCTGGCCCTGGGGCCGCCCCCCTCTCCTGAGTTGGCTCCAGGCTCCAGCCCTCCCTGTCCCCCCCTCACCAGGGCCAGCTGCTTTGGTGTCAGGCCAAGCAGGAGCAGAGAATTCACTGCAGACCCTCCCCACACAGCCCTGGCCCTGGCCTGTCTGTGGGCTCTTAGCAGGGAGGCCCCCCTCAGTCGTCCCAGATGGAGGGGCGTCTGCACAGCACAGTGGGAGGAGGGTGGAGGCCGGCCACGCTGACCCTATCGGATCAGTCAGGGACGCTAGGCGCAGGTGGCACTGGGGCGTGGGTGGGCAGGCCAGCGGCAGCCAACGAGATGCAGTTGAGGTTTTCCTCCTTTTCAGGGAATTGGGGGGGTGGGGCGGGGCCCCCCACCTTTCTGACATCAGCGCTGCCTTGGTGCTTCCTCCCGAGCCGGGGATGGTTGCAGGTAAATCGGGG